TCCTGCTTGCCCCTTCTCCCACCCCCACTATTTTTGTCTTGCCAGAACTTCTAGTAGTTGAATGTTCGATTTCCTAGTGTAGACCCCTAATTTTCTTTTTTTTCCTGTCCTGTTCTTTTTGCTTAACTGCTAGAAATTTTATCAACATTATCATCTAACCCTTCTATTGAGTTTTGCAGTTTGTATGGTGTTTTTATCTTTTGAGAACCCTTTTTATGGTCTCTGAGTACTCTTTTTTTTTTAAAGTTTATTTATTTTGAGGGGGGTGGGCAGAGATAAAGAGTGAGAGAGAATTCCAAGCAGCCTCCTCACTGTCAGTGCAGAGCCCAGCGTGGGGCTCAATCTCACAAATGGCAAGATCATGACTTGAGCCAAAATCAAGAGTCAGATGCTTAACCAACTCAGCCACCCAGGCACCCCCTGAATATTCTTTTTTCATAGAATCTTATTTTTGTTTCATGGTTACAACATCGTCTTATCTCTTTGAGGAATGTGAGGTTTCGAAATTTTCATTTTCCTGACTAATACCTGTTTCCTCCAAGTTGCCTTTTTTTCCTATTTGTTCTGGTCTCTATCTTTAAGGTAAGAGGCTTTTTTTGTTTTGTTTTGTTTTTTATTATCTGTTCATAATTAAAAGGCTTGATTTAAAAAGCTGATGAAGGGGCACCTGGATGGGTCAGTCGGTTAAGCTTCTGCTCTTGATTTCACCTCAGGTCATGATCTCATGTTTCGTGAGATCAAGCCCCACATTGGGCTCTGTGATGAAAGCTCAGATCCTGCTTGGGATTCTCTCTCTCTCTCTCTCTCTCTCTCTCTCTTTCTCTCTTTCTCTCTCTCTCTGTGCCCCACCCCTGCTCCCATGCATGCACTCTTTCTCTCTCTCTCAAATAAATAAATATTAGAAAAAATAAAAATAGGGCTGTGTGCTGACAGCTCAGAGCCTGGAGCCTGCTTCAGATTCTGTGTCTCCCTGTCTCTCTGCCCCTCCCCCACTCATGCTCTGTCTCTGTCTCAAAAGTAAATTTAAAAAAAATTAAAAAAATAAAAAGCTGATGAGAAGCCTTGAGCACATGGGTGAGGCTTGTAATCTTTCTTTTCTTTTCTTTTCTTTTCTTTTCTTTCTTAATTTTCTTTCTTTCTTTCTTTCTTTCTTTCTTTCCTTCTTTCTTCTTTCTTTCTTTCTTTCTTTCTTTCTTTCTTTCTTTCTTTCTTTCTTTCTTTTGTTTTTGAGAGAGAGAAAGTGAGAGAGAGCAAGCAAGGGAGGGGCAGAAAGAGAATCTGCCCAGCTCAGAACCAGACACAGAGCTCTATCTCACAACTGTGAGATAATGGCCTGAGCCTAAATCAAGAGCTGGCTGCTTAACCAACTGAGCCACCCAGGTGCCCCAAGGCTTATAATCTTTAAACCTCACTGCAGGATGATCTGGGTGGCGTGTAAAGGAATCCCTGTGGCTAGTACTCTTAGGTATTTTTTTTAAGACAGGTCAGATTCTTGAGAGGAGAGTATAATGATATTATACTGAATAATAAGGGTACAGCTACCAGGCTTCTTAGAGTTGCATTGGGGAGAAGGCTGTGAGTGCCTTCACTCGGTGGTCAGTAAGCATCCAATCACTTATTTCCTATTTTCTTGTCCTCAAATATGTTGGATGTCTTCCAGTCCAGAGGCCCTTCTGTTTCACCAGAATTTCTGGAGAATAAAACTCTGGACATCTCAGATGAGACGGGTAGTATCCTATCTCCTAGTGGCTTGGAGTGAAGGAATGACCTGAGGCAGTGCTTCTCAAATTTTAATGAACATCTAAATCACCTGAGGATCTAGTTAAAATGTAGGCTCTGGTTCAGTAGGTCTGGGATGGAGCCTAAGATTAAGCTTCAGGGAATGGTGTGCTGCTGGTCCAAGGTAGGGTCCCATTGTGAATAGCAAGGACTTAGGGATCTAACTGCTTCTCCGACAACTTTTCACCTAGTCCTCATTATTTTAGCCATTCAGTCCACCACCCACCCAGTTCTAGAGCTTCCTGCTTACTGCCTCTCTAGAGGATTCCGCAGTGGCTGTGGGCTTAGGTACCAGTTTTATCACGAATGACCTGAGGCACAGCCTTTCCAGGTTGGCTAGTTTGGTCACCACTGGTCCACCTGCTTTCTGGCTTCCAAATGTTGCTGTTGTCTTCTCTCCTTTTCGTGCTATCCTTGTGAATTTATGTCTTTTTAACAATTCTTCAGGCACCTGACTGGCTCAGGCAGTGGAATGTGTAACTCTTAATCTCAGGGTTGTGAGTTCAGTTCCCATGTTGGGTGTAGAGATTATTTAAAATAAAATCCTTTTTAAAAATTAAAAAAAAAAATTCTTTAGTTTCAGGGGATTGTTCAGGAAGGAGCAAAGTAGAGGTGTGTGTTCTGCCACGTTCACCCTAACTATTACCATCTGCTAAAATACTTTTCTAAAAGTTTGGCTACATCAGCATAAATAGAGCCTGATTTATGATAAATAACTGCTATTTTAAACCTCTAGGTTTTTGCACAAGGAACATTCTCTACTTCTCTCGTCCTACTTTGTCTGCCTACCAAACTCTTAGCAGTCCAAACCCAGCTCAGTTGGGTGGCCTCTGTGAGCCCCTCAGTCCCCAAGCCACCAAAGTCTGTATATTCTCCTGACTTTAACTCATAACCAGCTGCTTATATAGTGTCTCTTCCAAACAACTGAGTAAGCTCTTTAGGGCCAGGGCGTGTACCTTTGTAGCTCCGTGCCCAAGATATAATAGGAGCTTACAGCTGTTAGATTAAGTTCTGTGTGCATGCCTTCTTTCCCCCTTCATTTTCTTTCTGTTCTCTTCACCTCTTTTTCTGTTAAGAGGTCATTATACTTATTATCCATTCTATTATCCAATAAAAACTCATGTCCCGTATTGTTAATTTAAAAGTAAATGAGTAAAATAGGGGCGCCCTAACTCAGTAGGTTAAGCGTCCAACTTCAGCTCAGGTCATGATCTCATGGTTTGTGGGTTCAAGCCCCACACCAGGCTGTCTGCTGTCAGCACAGAGCCTGCTGTGGATTCTCTGTCCCCCTCTCACTGTCCCTCCCCTGCTTGCACACATGCATGCTCTCTCTCTCAAAAATAAACATTAAACAAATAATAGTAAATGAGTAGAATAAATAATACTTCTCAATTTCTAATACCTACTTCATTAAATAAAAGAGATTTAAATGTTATATAAACTTGGGGCACCTGAGTGGCTCAGTTGGTTGGGCATCTGATTTTAGCTCAAGTCATGATCTCATGGTTCGTGAGTTTGAGCTTTGCGTAGGGTGAGCTGGAGCCCAGCTTCAAGGGTGGGTGCTGACAGTGCGGAGCTTGTGTGGGATTCTTTCGCTCTCCCTCTGACTGTGCCCCTCGATCATTGTGCCCTCTCTCTCTGTCAAAAATACAAATAAGTAAATAAGTTTTAAATAAATAAATATAATATAAACTCCATTTGATTTTTCTCCCCAGCTCTAATCACTATTCAAAAACAAACATTTCCTCAGTTCTAGGTGAAGACATAATACACAATCTTTTCTTCCTTCCTTCCTTCCTTCCTTCCTTCCTTCCTTCCTTCCTTCCTTTCTCTTTCAGTAAGCTATACGCCCAGTGTGGGGCTTGAACTTACATCCCCGAGATCAAGAGTTGCATGTTCTACTGACTGAGCCAGCCAGAAGCCCCTAAAGACATAATTCTTACCAACTGATGGAATTATCTGTTGAAGGAGTTTGAATCTAAATTATTTAAATAAAAGTAATTTTTAGTTTTAAAGATAAAAAATAAAATGCTTAAAAAGACTACATGACCTCACTCACATTTCTAGCCTAGAACTTTTTCAGAGCAAATGTACTGTTGTCAAAATGTAACCCAACAGGGGCTCCTGGGTGGCTCAGTGGGTTGGTTAAGTGTCCAACTCTTGATTTTGGCTCAGGTCATGATCTCATGATTCGGGAGATTGAGCCACCCACTCAGGAACCCTGCCTCAGGCTCTGCCCTGACAGCAGGGAGCCTGCTGAGCTTCTCTCTTCCCCTGCTCATGTGCACTCTCTCTCCCTCTCAAAAAAAAAAAAAAAAAAAAAAAAGTAAACCAACTGAATGTGGCTGGCTTCATAATCTAGTGTTTGATTTAAATAATGAAATCAAGGAAAATGCATAATCACATGCCCACCATTCCCATCTCAGTGTGAGTTCCAGACATTATGTCAGTTACTTAATGTCTTGTAGTTCAAATGATTTTTCATCCTTTAAAAGAAACATAGAAATGCCCTCAAATTGAAAATCTAAGTAATCGTTGCATTTTTTTTTTAATTTTTTAACGTTTATTTATTTTTTTGGGACAGAGAGAGACAGAGCATGAACGGGGGAGGGGCAGAGAGAGAGAGGGAGACACAGAATCAGAAACAGGCTCCAGGCTCTGAGCCATCAGCCCAGAGCCCCACGCGGGGCTCGAACTCCCGGACCGCGAGATCGTGACCTGGCTGAAGTCGGACGCTTAACCGACTGCGCCACCCAGGCGCCCCTCGTTGCATTATTTAAGAGCACATTTAAGTAATTTAACCCTGAGAAGTTTTTAGATTAATCTGCCATAAATATGCTATATTTTAATTGATTCAGTTGCAATTACGCACACTTTTGGAATTTTTGCTTCAATTTACATTTTAGTATTTTTTAAAAAATATTTTTCAAAGTGGAAAATAAGTGCATTATTGTTTAATTATTGTGGAATTTAGGGAAGTACTCCATTGGTACTAGATCAAGATTTTGAAAGTAAATTTTAGTTTATAATTACCTAAAGGCTATTACTATTCTAAAATTTATTTTTATTTTGCAGTTCACTTTTTTGTTCTATATTAATAACATAATCTCCTTTATATACTGTTGCTCTATACATATATATTTCAGAAATTATCAGTAGCAACATGAATATAAATTGGGATTCCGGCTAATCTTTTGTACTTCATGTTCTTTGATAACCAGGTTTTGATTCTGACTTTTGAAGATGGATGAAGGTATAGAAATTTCGAGTGATGGAAATTCCCTGATCAAAGCAGTCCATCAGAGCCGGCTTCGCCTCACAAGACTCTTGCTAGAAGGTGGTGCATACATTAATGAGAGCAATGACCGTGGGGAAACACCTTTAATGATCGCTTGTAAGACCAAACATGTTGATCACCAGAGTGTCAGTAAAGCCAAAATGGTTAAATACCTGTTAGAAAACAATGCTGACCCCAACATACAGGACAAATCTGGGAAAACTGCTTTGATGCATGCTTGCTTAGAAAAAGCCGGTCCTGAAGTTGTTTCCCTGCTCCTAAACAGTGGGGCTGATCTCAGCTTGCAAGATCATTCTAGTTACTCAGCCCTTGTTTATGCTATAAATTCAGAGGATAGAGAGACCCTGAAAGTTCTACTTAGTGCTTGCAAGGCAAAAGGGAAAGAGGTCATTATTATAACAACAGCAAAATCACCCTCCGGTAGGCACACTACCAAACAGTACTTAAATATGCCTCCTGTAGATATGGATGGGAGTCATTCCCCAGCCTCCTGTGCCACTCCTTCAGAAATAGACATAAAAACAGCTTCGTTGCCACTTACACATTCTTCTGAAACTGAAATGACACTTTTTGGCTTTAAAGGTCTGGAGCCCTCAGGAAATAGTGATGACACACAGGACCCAGGCTCCCCTGTGAGGAAGCCTTCTATGGCCTCTAATGGGCCCAAGCTACCCCAGGCTCCAACCTGGATCAAGAGTCCTCCCTTATTCATGCACCAAAACAGAGTGGCCTCCTTGCAAGAGGAGCTCCAGGATATTACTCCAGAGGAAGAATTGTCCTACAAAACCAATGGGCTGGCACTTTCCAAGCGATTCATCACTAGGCACCAAAGTATTGATGTAAAAGACACTGCACATTTGCTGAGAGCCTTAGATCAGGCCTGCTCAAGAAAGATGTCATATGATGAAATAAATTATCAATCATTTTTTTCAGAAGGAAATCAGCAATGCATTGAAATCCCTGCTGAGCCAGATCCAGACTCTAACCAGACGATATTTGCTTCCACCTTAAGAAGTATAGTCCAAAAAAGAAACTCAGGGGCAAATCACTACAGCTCTGATTCCCAGCTCTCAGCTGGTCTTACCCCTGCAACTTTAGAAGATGGCAAAGCACTTATAGGAAAGAAAAAGATCCTCTCACCGTCTCCTTCCCTGTTGTCAGGGCCCAAAGAATTGTTGGAGAATATCTCACCAGGTCCCTTGAGCAGGAGAAATCATGCAATTTTAGAAAGGCGTGGTTCAGGAGCTTTCCCTTTAGATCACGGTATCACGCAAGCCAGACCAGGATTTCTGCCACCCTTAAATGTGAATCCTCATCCCCCCATCTCTGATATCAATGTCAATAATAAGATTTCCAGCCTCCTTTCTTGTGGTCAAAAAGTGCTAATGCCAACAGTTCCTATGTTCCCCAAAGAATTCAAAAGTAAAAAAATGTTGTTAAGGAGACAATCATTGCAAACAGAACAAATTAAGCAATTAGTAAATTTTTAAGAGATGACTAGAAAGCCCATTTTGTCCAAATGTCTACATCAGAGAAATATAGAACCTGAAAATAAATCTCAAATGTTCATCTTTTAAAATCTTATAATTGGTTAGTCAATAATTGTTTGAGGTATCAAAATATACTGTGTATCATATTAAGTACCGTGGACACACAAATAATACATAGTTTCTGCTAAGGAAATTCTCTCAAACAAAATTAAAGCTATACTTCTCAAAACCTCTAATATTTAACAATCTTCATATGGTCCAAGTTTTTAATTTAAGCAAAAATCAGCAAAAAAAAAAAAAAAAAGTCACATGTGGTAGAGATGACTTTAAAATTTTTTTCAGATTTTTCAGATATTTTATTAGGAAACACGGCATTCAAATCAATAAATATTTTTAACATTAAAAGTCAACAAATAAGATTGTAATTTTCCATGATGCCAAAAGCATAAAAAAAAAGGGACAGCTATTAAAATGTTCTATGAACAATAAGCCAAAGGTACAAAGCCTAAGGCATAAAGAAAGAATGAGCTAATTCTTAAAAAATGTTGACTGCAGGTAGGTGAAATCTAATTAAAATTAAAATTTTTTTTCTAATTCAAATTTTAAAAAGACCAACCTATTATAGTAGACTAGGCAGCCAATATTCGTATGGTCAGTTTAATCAACTCCAAGTGACAGATCAGTTTTACAAGCTAGTAATAATCTATGTGAAGTGCTGGTGTGCTGTTTTTTGCTTTGTTTTATTTTGATTTTAATGTACTTTCATGGAATTGTTTCTCCATATCTTTTAATTCCTGCTATTATTTTTTAAAGCCTATATATAGGTTCTCGACAACAAGATAAAGCAAAAGGTTTAAAAGCGTTATATCAAATTACTCTTGTCGTTCTAAGGACAACCAAAAAATGGGGATTTATCACAAATAGAAACTATATGCTTGCTTCGTTTTAGAAAAGAAAAGCCGATTATTAGATTATCTTAGATTAGCTAAAATTAAGAAAGCCAGTAGAAACTTAATTACAAAATATACTACATATTCGGCCAAAATTAAACAGTATCTTTAATTTCTAATATATAATCATTAGACATTTATATAATAAGAATAATAAGGGTAATTTCCTTAGCGTGACATTCCAATCACCTAGTATTTAGGACCTATGAATAACTTCTAATTAAATAAATGAATACCATGCTACTATCATAAAATGTTACAAAATGACTATATTATCTGTCTGATTTCAAAATGTGGTGTTTATACAAAAAATCCTCATTTCAATCTAGCAGTTTTACAACAAAGAATAAGTCAAATTATATAAAACCTGAGTATATTAATTTGATGACTGTCATATACAACTTTATTTCTTTGCCTATTAGTAGAGGAGATCCTAACAATTGGCATGATGCTTGGTAATTTGATATAAGCAAGTTGTAATGTACATGGTAATTATTTAATTTCTTGTGGCTTTTATTTGAAAAAAATAATTGGAGGTTTTCCATTTAATGTTTTGAAGAACAATAATGTAAATTACATTAGAAATATTTTTTGATTCAGAACTTAGAATTGTACCTGATGTTTATAGGTAGCTAAACCCTTTTTGCAAGTTTTAATATTGAGAAAAGTGCTTGGCTTTGAGTTGTAAGGATACAGTCTGGAAAAATATGTAAATAGAGTAGTTCATAAACAAAATGGTATCAATAAAGATTTTAAATGTTATTTTGATTATCATTGCTTTTTATTTATTTCAAATACTAATGATAAATATTTCAACATAATCTCAGGAGAAACTGTGCCACATATTACTTTGAGTAAATAGAAAACTAAGAAACAATAACTTCTGATGCAATTCACATACCAATGTGCAAAAAATATTTAATAGGATTAAAGTTCATTGAAGGTCATATTTATTTTACTTTTTTAATGTTTATTTGTTTTTGAGAGAGAGACAGACAGAGCATGAGCAGGAGAAGGACAGGGAGAGAGGGAGACACAGAGTCCAAAGCAGGCTCCAGGTTCTGAGCCGTCAGCACAGAGCCCCAAGCTGGGTGGAACCCATGAATGGCGAGATCATGATCTCAGCCAAAGTCAGACACTTAACTGATTGAGCCACCCAGGTGCCCCTGTTGAAGGCCATATTTAGAAGAGCTCTTAGTCTTCCATCAATCCTAAAAACATGTTAGGGGCTAAGGTTGCTTGAGTTAGTATGCAAAACCAACCTATGGGACTTTTCACTCTATTAAGTAGACTATATCACTGAGATCCCAATGGTAAGTCACAGATGTTTTCAACAGGAATCAGATATGTATACATGTGCTATATTTTAACTTAACGTAGAAGTATAATTTAACTTTAATTTCAAGGTATGATGACACTTCATTCATTAGTTTTACAGGTACCATTCTTAGTTACTTGTGGCTAGGATTTCCAAAGAGTACAGCTAATACTTATTCACAAGATAATTTTGGGGAGAACATAGGGCAGTCCTAGTTACAGAGACAAGTGGGGACAGTGTCCTATCCAAGCAGTGTCCAGGCAAGGTGGTGAACACCTGCCTGGCATATTCTTTGGTGGAGATGTACGCATCAGTTATCCAGTACCTGAACCATTTAAAATCTCAAATGATAAAACTACCCTTGTTCCACTTAAATATTCACTATGTAACCTTCTAATAATTTGATTCCCATGTAGCTTGTTTAAAGGGAAGAATGGCAAAAAAAATGGGGCACCTGGATGGCTCAGTTAAGCATCTGACTCTTGGGGCGCCTGGGTGGCTCAGTCGGTTAAGCGGCTGACTTTGGCTCAGGTCACGATCTCGCAGTCCGTGAGTTCGAGCCCCGTGTCGGGCTCTGTGCTGACAGCTCAGAGCCTGGAGCCTGTTTCGGATTCTGTGTCTCCCCCTCTTTCTGACCCTCCCCCGTTCATGCTCTGTCTCTCTCTGTTTCCAAAATAAATAAACGTTAAAAAAAATTTTTTTTTGAAAAAAAAAAAAATAAACGTCTGACTCTTGATTTTGGCTCAAGTCATGATCTTATGGTTTGTGAGATGGAGCCCCAAGTAGGGCACTGTGCTGACAGTGTAGAGCCTGGTTGGGACTCTCTCTCTCCCTCTCTGCCCCTCCCCTGCTTGCATACATGCACACACTCTCTCTCTCTCAAAATAAATAAATACACATTTTTTTTAAATAAAGGAAGAAATTAACTTGTCAGGATGATGACAATTGTATTAATCATGTTTTTTAATTTTGTTTATTTTCTGATGCTTTGATATCTTAGGGCCTTGTTGACAGTGGATGGACTGCCCCTCCCAAGGTTAGCTAATTCCTAGAGATAGAAAATAACTTGCCACAAAATGTGGCAAACCAACCAATGTATGCATTATGTATGCAATGCATACACAATGCAATTATGTATGCAAACTAACCAATCCAGAATCCATATACTCCAAATATCTCCTTTATCGGGCTCTCACAGGGCTCTCTCACTCAAGGCAACTACCCACCTGCCCTAATCAAGCCAGGATCAGGTACCAAACAACCAGAGACAGCTCCTACACCTCAGAAACCACCAAAATTATTCAAACTAGCCAATCCTAAGCCTGCTTACCCTGCCTCATTCATTCTTACAGAAACCATAATGAAGGGTCTTTCCCAAGTTTTCCCCTTACTACTCTGCCTCCAGGCAGACCCTGGTACTTTCCCACATTGGCCCTATGTGATGTAGAATGCTTGCCTCCTCTTGGGAATTTTAAGTAACAAACTACATTTTTCAATACAACTGTCTCCTGATCTGTTGGCTTCAACATATGTGAATAGTAATAAAACCTACATTTTAAAACAAGAAGGCACAGTCTTCTTGGAAGTCACGATTTACTGGAGCTCCCCATTGGCCTTCCCATGGTGACATCCTATCTCCTTGTATACCTTCTTTGAATGTCTACAATTCTTTTTTTTTTTTAAGTTTATTTATTTATTTAAGTAATCTCTACACCCATTGTGGGGCTCAAACTCATGACCCCGAGATCAAGAGACACACACTATCCCCCCAACCCCTGACTAAGCCAGCCAGGCCCCCCTGAATGTCTACACTTCTTAAAGGGAAGTCCAGGAGAGGAAAATCTGGCAAGAGTAGCTAACACAACAAATCACAACAAAAACAATTTAAAAGAATTTCAATTAGCTGAAACATTGGATCAAAGTATAAGGATCATGAGTAGGCTACATTTAGGTTTTAAAAATCAATTGCTTAAGATTAGAAAATCAATAATTTACATGGAAAAACTCTAACAGTTTTAGTTAGATACTAAGTTAACAAGTTTGTCAGGACTCCTAACAAAGCTAAGACTATATTGTTAAAAGATTAACCAGTTTCTACTAGTAAATCTTACTACTGGTAGAGCAAATCTGAAATAGTTTTTTAATTCTAGATAGCACATCGTACAATATATATGTAAGAAATAAAGATAATAAAAAATCTAGGAAAAAAACGTTAAAAGAGGTGAAAGAATTGATATCATTTAGCCAGAAGATAAAAGACTCAATTGAGATTAAATAGCTGATCTTAAATACGGAAGGGACTGAAACACTGACTTAGTCTAGAATCCTCCAAATTAAGATAAACTGGCACCAGAAAATTCAAGTCACAGAAATATATTAACGCTTTAGTTCCTAGAGCAATTTATCTACGGAAAACTCTGTCCAAGGAAGATATGAACCACATTTTTTTGGAAACAGGCAGAGGATGGATGTTGATCAGAGATTTAATGAGATTCATTTTAATGAAAAATCTTTAAACTCTTTTTAAAGATTGAGACAGTCTATGTATTAACAATTCTAGATTCAGTGGGAAAAGTTGAAATTAATGATTGAACTTAGTTACATTTTTGGACTTCAATCACATACATGACTTCTTAGTTTTATTTTCATATTCAATAAGTATTGGTTATAGTGGCAGAAATTTAAATTTTGATTGTCAGGCAAAAACACTTTCCAAAGGTTCTTCTTACCAATTTCAAAACAAAAAATTGCTATTCTGTACCTGCAACTTTGAGTCCTATTAATATGGAGAATTTGGGACGCCTGGGTGGCTCAGTCAGTTGAGCATCCAACTCTTGATTTTGGCTCAGGTCATGATCTGGCGGTTTCTGAGACTGAGTCCCACATTGGGCTCTGTGATCACAAAACAGAGCCTGCTTAGGAGTCTCTCTCTCCTCTCTCTCTCTCTGCCCCTCCCCAGCTCATGCATTCTCTCTCTCTCTCTCTCTCTCAAAATAAAATAAACATTTTTTAAAAACCTGGAAAACTTTAAAAATGCTAATTCTTTTAAAATAACAACAAACCCATTCATGTTAGAATAAATAACTATATTTTCCAAAATATACTTAGTGAAAAGAGTGGTATTGTTTTATGGTTTCACAAATCCCTTTAATCCTTGGCTTAATAGAAAACAGCTGGATTGTCCTGTTTCTGCATTCAATCTGTTATAATATGTTGTTTTAGTTGAAACATATGAAGAAAACATGGCTTCACACAAATGTATAATTGTAAAAGGAAGAAATAATGGGCTTTTCAGATAATTGTGGATAGTCTTCTTTGATACTATACTTAAACTTGGGTAAGTGGTAGTTTCTTAAAAGTTTAGCTATAATGTGGAATCTGAAACTACATCAATGAATTTTCATATTCTATTACACTATATTCACTGTACTATCTTGCAATTTGAATGGATTCCTTACTCATGCAAGGTTTTATAATATCATGGACTAGTCATTTGGAAAATAATGAATCTTTGAGTTATTCAGATCTTCCAAATATTGACACATTTTATTATAATACATTATGTTATATTAAATTATATTAAAAATAACATTTATTAATATTGCCACTGATATCAGAAAAAAAGTCTTTTAAGCATTGGGAATTGTCAGGTTCACAATGATGGATTCAAGTTTATTCAAATTCTAATTTTTCATGTAAAAGCTCAGGTTTTGTAACTGGCAACAGATACTGTCAGTTGTTTTCCTCAAAGTGACAAACTTGCTTTGTTCATTTTTGAGAAAATATTTGCCAAATACCCAAGACTGAATAATTAGTCTGTCAGTTGTTCTTTCCAGGAAATATTTTTCCCATGAAAAAAAATGACTAGCTCTGTTTGCAACATGTGCTTTTCTTTAGGACAACCACTGAATTTCAGTATACAGGAGAACTATTCTGTGTTTACCTCCCATTTTGTCACACAGACTACATTAAAGAGGCAAGATGTTAATAAATGTTCAATAATAATTTTTGCTGAATCATTGATGATACTTCTAAGTCTTTTTTTTTTTCCTTTCTAATGTGAGTGTGTGGCAGTGGAGAATATGATTGCTAACTGATGCCATGAACTTGATTTATACTAAGACATCAACAGTTTCACCCACCATTGTTTTTCCAACATCATCGTATTTACACGAAACAGACAAATCCTGTTTTTTGTGTGTGAAATAATAACAATTTCACAAATGGTTTTGACCTCATGAATCTCCTGAAAGGGTCTCAGGGGCACTGAGGGGTTTGTGCGCCACACTGTAAGAATAACCGGTCTAAGAAAATTACTGAGGTTTTGTGTTACCCGTCCATCCATCCATCCATCCCATTTGTTAGGGGCCTATTCTGACCAGACATCATATAAAAATGAATAGTTTCTTCCTCTAAAACAACACAGCTGAGAACAAAACACAAACCTGTAAAATAATTATAATCCAGCAGAGAAGGTACCTCAGGAGAAAGCCCACAGGTCTGCCTGGGGAAGTCATGAAAGACTCCTTAAAAAACCTAGGTTTAGGGGCTGAGCTCAATAGGCTCTGTGAAGAGGTCATGGCTCTCTACTTTAATCCAGAGTTTTTGATCATCTCTTGAATTCACAAAGTAGCAAAAGACTCTCACAGTCAATATTTCGGTTAAGATTTTCAAACTCTTATTACATTCTTTCATCCCAAGGAAAACATAAAGAAAAAGGCAATGACCAGTCTTAATGAACATTCTGTAGTGGCAAGCAAGCCCAGAAGAGTTCAGCCACGAGATTTAGTCAGAGTGATTCCTTTCTTAGGCAGAAGCATAGAAACAAGAACCTCCCTACAGGGCAGGAGGCTGAGTGGGCCCCTTTCAAGTCCTGTTTTCTCTCTTCACTGATGGTGGGACTGTGGAAATAGTTATATTATTGAAAATTATGGAATAATTAAAATATGTAGTAAAGTAGCAATTACTTAGAGAGTCTTTAAGAAACTGGTCCAGTTAAAAAAAAAAAAGAGCATCCTTTCTAAAGTTAGAGTAGGAGGTGAGTGAGTTAAGGGACAGGCAGATGGGGTTTTCAAGCATTCTTTCCAAGTTGGTATAAAAGAGCAATATCAACAAATAACTGAAAAGTATAGTTACACGTGGCCTCTGTCCTATCTTGTTTGGGTTAGTAGCACCACTTGACCTTCTGTTACCTAGCAAACAATATATTCGCAGTGTGCCTGAGTGGCTCAGTCAGTTAAGCATCCAACTTCGGCTCAGGTCATGATCTCATGGTTCACGGATTCAAGCCCTGAGTGGGGTTCTGAGCTGACAGCTCAGAGCGTGGAGCCTGCTTCAGGTTCTGTGTCTCCCTCTCCCTCTATGCCCCTCCCCTGCTCACACTCTGTCTCTGTCTCTCTCTCAAAAATAAACATTAAAAAATTTTTTTAATTAAAATATAGATTCGCTAGATTCTTCCCTCTCTCCCATACTCTCCATTCAACGAGCTTAAAAACTCTTACAAGTTCTCCCTTTGTAACCTCTTTCCTCTGTTTCTTGAGCATTTCCATCTGCTTTTGCTACCACCTTAATTCAGGGCTTCATCTCCCTTAACTTCAAGAATTCCAAATCTTCTCCTGCCATTATAAACACCTTTCTAACACTCAAAACCGGTATTAAAACTCCCCTACTTAAAATGGTGCAATGAGTGATTCCTATGGCCTAAGAGAAAAGGAGCCAGCTCCTTGGCTCAGAAAATGAATCTGGCCCCTGCCTCAGTGCCCAGCCTCATAGTATGGTGTCTTTATAAACTTTTTTAACAGGTCAGATAAGTCTCTTCCCTCACTTAGAGTTCCTCTGCGCGTGTGCCTCTGTCTGAAAGACCCTTCCCTCTCTTACTCTACCTAGTGAATCTTACTCATTCAAGACACACCTTTAAGTGTTTTCTCTCAATTAGAACAAAATGCTGTTGCCACAACCTGGTGTATAGTTCCATCAGAGGAGTTACAGCAAATATCCAACTTATTGTCTACAGATCTCTCTTCCTAGATTTTAAGATCCTTGAGGCAGAAATCATTTCTGAATTATTTGCACAGCTTCAGTCCATCAGACATCAATTAAATGCCTGCCTCTTCCTTCCTCTCAGTATTCCTACTAAGCCCTGAAGACACAAGTGACTGGACAAACCGAGGTCCTTGCCCAAAGGATGTTAGATACAAAGAAGGGAGAGAAGCAATCACAGTCACAAGTAAAAGAATGACACTGGTGTGGTACACTGGACACTAGAACAAAGACCCTGAGCTCCTGCTGCTGAGGTCCCAAGAACTCCTAGATCCTGTCCGGCTTCTTCCAAGACCTGGTTATCAGGTGCTCTTGGTTTCATTTATTCATTATACTCCCATTTTCTAGATAAAAAGTTCTTCAGTGCTACTATCTTCATCTTTCTATCAGTGAACTTTTCCTTGCATTGATTCACGGATTTATTATTATAAGCAGATTGTAGGCTCTTACTAGGCAGGCTCATACCTTAAATTTCAAGATGAGAGATAGGGCATTTTTCTATATATTCACTAGGTACTTAATTTTTATAATTACAGGGAAAAACCCCAAGATTTTAACTCCAACAAACAAGCAAGTAAGCAATCTGTTGTGAATAATCTTTAACAATTTCCCACTTGGTAAATGAGTATATATCTGACTAATTAGTAATGACATCACTTTTACAGGGCCATATCAACCATACTTTTTTTTTTTTTTAGTGTTTATTTTTGAGAGAGAGAAAGAGTGTGAGCAGGGGTAGGCAGAGAGAGAGGGAAACACAGAATCCAAAGCAGGCTCCAGGCTCTGAGCTGTCAGCATGGAGCCCAATGTGGGGCTTCAACTCATGAACCATGAGATCATGACCTGAACCAAAGTTGGATGCTTAACTGACTAAGCCACCCAGGCGCCCCTCAACCGTACTTTTCAAAGCTCTGATTTTTTTTTTGAACAATTGGATCTCTGTACCAAAGTCTCTTCTAGGACCAGGATTGCTCTGCCAAACTTGGGAAATAGCCCTTGGATGCCATGAGTTCTCAACACCAAACATTAGACTTGAGAACCTGGAGGGGAAAAATAAGTTATACATATTTTGTGTCTGGGAACTTCTTCCCAAATATTTTCCTATGTATACAAATGCATATAATGTCATATAACTTTACATAACTAGGATACCAAACCTGTGTTTTGCAGCCTGCAAGATAACATCTTTCCATATTGATAAATGTAGAGTCTCACTGTTCATATAGTATTGTATTGCATTCTCCTACATTAAGGCCTTTTTATAATTATTTATTTGTTTGTTTATTTATTTTTAATGTTTACTTATTTTTGAGACAGGGAGAGACAGAGCATGAACAGGGCAGGGTCAGAGAGAGGGAGACACAGAATCTGAAGCAGGCTCCAGGCTCTGAGCTGTCAGCACAGAGACCGACGCGGTGCTAGAACTCATGGACTGCGAGATCATCACCTGAGCTGAAGTCGGCCGCTTACCCACTGAGCCACCCAGGTGCCCCTATAATTATTGTTTATTAACTAAGTTATGAAGTGTCTGTTCTTTTGCCCATTTTTAATTGAGTTGTTTAGCTTCTTTTTAAGAATTAGTTTATAGGAGTTCTCCAAAGATTCTGAGTATGAGACCTTTGTCAGATAGGTATTAATGGAGTCTTTTAATGAGAAGTGTTAAATTTTGATAAAGCCTATTAACCCATTTTTTTCTTTTTTTTAATGTTTTATTTATTTTTGAGAGAGACCTTGAGCAGGGGAGGGGAGAAAAAGAGGGAGACAGAGGACCCGCAGCAGGCCCTGTGCTGATGGTAACGAGGCCCATTCAGGGCTCTAACTCAGGAACCCTGAGATCACAACTTGAGCTGAAGTCAGACACTCAACAAAATAAGTCACCCAGGCACCCCAATCAATTTTTTCTTTTATGATTAGTGTTGTGTTATGAGACATCATTGCCTTGGATGTGGGGGAAATAGGAAAAAAATTGGGAACATCTGACAATTTTATATGTCAATTATACCTCTACAAAGCTGTAATTAAAAAAAGAAATTGTTGCTTACTCCAAAGTCACAAAAACATTCTCCTTCATTCTCTTCTAAATCCTTAATTTTAGTTTTCACATTTGGACCTAAGATTCAAGTCAAATTATTATTTGTGTATGGTATGAAGTAGGGATCAAAGTTATTTTTTTTCCATGTGAATATCCACTAATAATTTATTTTCAACAGCATACATTTTATAATTCCCTTACATATTTTTGTTCCCCAAAACAATTTAAAATACAGCTCTAAATCTTTTTTTTTAGTCTTTCAACATTTTTTATTATATCATTAAAAGTATCATTTATAAAATTTCCATTTTTTAAAATTAGGATATAGAGATGAATTAGAATTTGTACCTTGACTCTATAAGGCAACTGATGAATTCTTTGTTTTGTTTTGTTTGTCTTTTCAAAACTTCTTTTATTTTATTTTATTTTTTTTTAAATTTACATCCAAATTAGCATACAGTGCAACAATGATTTCAGGAGTAGATGCCTTAGTGCCCTTACCCATTTAACCCATCCCCCCTCCCACAACCCCTCCAGTAACCCTCAGTTTGTTCTCCATATTTATGGGTCTCTTCTGTTTTGTCCCCCTCCTTGTTTTTATATTATTTTTCTTTCCCTTCCCTTGTGTTCATCTGTTTTGTCTCTTAGAGTCCTCATATGAGTGAAGTCATACGATTTTTGTCTTTCTCTGACTGACTAATTTTACTTAGCATAATACCCTCCAGTTCCATCCACGTAGTTGCAAATGGCAAGATTTCATTCTTTTTGATTGCCAAATAATACTCCATTGTGTATATAAACCACATCTTCTTTATCCATTCATCCATCAATGGATATTTGGGCTCTTTCCATACTTTGGCTATTGTTGATAGTAAATACAGCTTTAAATCTTAATCTAAGTGATACTCAGCTGATAAAGTTCTCAAAATAAAAGAATTTTGCCTTAAGATTAATATTTTTAAAACTATTATCAAGGGTCAAATAATCAAGTAGCAAAAATAATCTTCTGGACAAATGAAATTTTATTTAAAACCTCATTGAAATACAGTTCATTTAGAAAATTTGTAAACTAAGCTTTACTTTTTATTATAATTTTAAATTATTCTTTGTTCCAATTGTTAAAATTTTGTAATTATAAAATTTTATCTTTTGTTTTTGGCAAACAACCATAGAAAGTGAAGTTTTAGATATTATTTGACAAATAGGACTGTATTTAGTTGGAGCTAAAATTTAAAGTGGAAATATAATTGTCTTCTTTAAATACTTTTATATCTACAATGTTTCATGTTATACTACTCACTGTATTTATCTACAATGGATATGATCATATGACAAGTCTAGAAGAAGGGAACTAACTTTGTCTGTTGAGTACTTACTATGCGTTGAGCATTGAGCTAGATCCTCTATTACATGAATCTCAATCTTCATAACAACCACAAGAAAATCCTCATTTTCCCTCCATTTTTTAGATAAGGAAATCAAGATTCAATGAGGTTAAATATTTCCAAAAATCTATAGCTAGTAAGGGACAGAGGTGGGGCTGTAAGGGAAGTCTATCTGAATTCAAAATTATATTTTCACTATATACCACTTTATCTTCTGGGAGAAAATGGCTGATAAACCAAGGCAAATTACATATCTTAGGACATTCATTAGTAAGTTTCTTTTTAATAAATGAAAGAAGTACATATTTTTCTGAATACCTTGCTCAAGACTAAGCCACATACTATAAAGGACAGTTAAGAATGCACCCTTACCATGAAAGGCTTTATAACCTAGCTGAAGAAATATAACTAACATGTATGACATAATTAGTGAACAATATTAAATAGTTAAAATGAACTGTTAAAGGAAGGTCTGGAGACCATTGATGTTGCAGGCATTTTTGAAATGAAGCACTGAAGGTGGGCTACATTGTGGATGGTCTTTAAGAGTAAAATTCAATAAAGTTGCATGTAAGAGGCCCCTGGAGGTTTCTAATTTGCAAGAGGCACTTATAAAAGCTTTCTTCAGCAGAAATACTCAGAGCATCTCTGAGTAGAGTGTGAACAATGAAGACATGAAGAACAAGTTTCTGAAGTTCTAGCAGTAAAATAAGGGCCTGAACTAAGGTGGTGCTGGTGAGAAATGAAAATCAAATGATGTGTCACTAGGATTAAAATTCTACTCTTCAAGCTTCTCTGGAAGATAGTGTGAAGGTTCCTCAAAAAATTAAAAATAGAACTACCCTATGACCCAGCAATAGCAGTGCTAGGGATTTACCCAAGGGATACAGGAGTGCTGATGCATAGGGGTACTTGTACCCCAATGTTTATAGCAGCACTCTCACCAATAGCCAAATTAAGGAAAGAGCCTAAATGGCCATCAACTGATGAATGGATAAAGAAGATGTGGTTTATATATACAATGGAATACTACTTGGCAATGAGGAAGAATGAAATCTGGTCATTTGCAGCAATGTGGATGGAACTGGAGGGTATTATGTTAAGTGAAATAAGCCAGGCAGAGAAAGACAGATACCATATCTTTTCACTCATATGTGGATCTTGAGAAGCTTAACAGAAGACCATGGGGGAGGGAAAGGGGAAAAAATAGTTACAAACAGAGAGGGAGGAAGGCAAACCATAAGAGACTCTTAAATACAGAGACCAAACTGAGGGTGGATGGGGGTGGGGGAGATTGGAAAATGGGTGATGGGCATTGAGGAGGGCACTTGTTGGGATGAACACTGGGTGTTGTATGTAAGCCAATTTGACAATAAATTGTATCATAAAAAAAAAAAGAAACCATGTGGCTAAATAAAAAAAAATATGCTCTCCAGTAGTATTGTACTCACTATAGATAAAATATTATGATGGAAATAAAGAATACAAAATACATACACAGTTGCCAGCATGCTCCCAACAATATGGAAATGTTAGATCCATCTAATTTAATCTATATTGTTTTCAGTAAGTGGATTTTATTCTGTCATGAGAAAGGTGCTCACCTGTGTGAAAGTTAGAACATTTTTAAAGCCCTCTTACTCTTCTGTAATTTCTGAAATAACCAGTTCTCCAGGAAAAAAGAAAGAGGGTGCCAGAGTTTTGTTGAACCTCTGTAATACAAGTGGCAACAAAATGTGATTTATATCCAAGCTATAACATGTAAATTCTTTCAATTACCTTCGGTATATCAAAATCATATTTTTATAAAGGTTTTTAAAGCATAATCTTCCTAAATTATTATTAGAACAGGCCCACTGAAATATCTTATTTCCAAATCTTTTTTTAAAAATTTTAATGTTTATTTATATTTGAGAGAAAGACACAGCATGAGTGGGGTAGAGGCAGAGAGCGACAGAAGCAGGCTCCAGGCTCTGAGCTGTCAGCATAGAGCCTGACATGGGGCTTGAACCCATGAGCTGGACATGGGGCTTGAGCCCATGAGCTGTGAGATCATGACCCAAGCCAAAGTTGGACACTTAACTGACTGAGCCACCCAGGCACCCCTCTTCTTTCCAAATCTTTTAAGTAAGTACAGTATCATAAGGATATATGCCTAATAAAGTAAGCACTAAGTGTTCTTTGATTAGATGATGTGGAGAATAAATCAATCATCATAATTTATGTGGTAATTAGTTCAGACCAAAGCAGGGGATTATGAAACCAAAACATGAAATAACTTAGAAGAATCTTCTTAGAGATTAACTTTGACTCCAATGGCTTGTTTAAATTCATGGTTTTGTGGTTCCAAGATGTCATAGAAAACTTGTTTTTTGTCAAAATGGTCTCTAATGCAAAGTAAATCTTCAATGGAATAGTTATCATTTTTCCCAGTCCAAATAGTCAGGCTGTACCTGCATTAAAATAAAACAGAATTATACAGTGAAAAGTAAAAGATAAGAAACAGTGATGAGGAATTCCAATAAGCCTAAAAATAGTTACTCTCATTTATCTTTAACCCAAATTCACACAGACAAAAAAATTAATTAGCAGTGCTAGAACATATAGTTTCTGTTTCATCAACATCAAAAGGACTAGAGAGAAAAAAAAAATTCACATTGCTGTCAGCTAAATTAGGTAACTGCTATATCTGAGTTACAGGAATGTTAAATGGCTTTGGAAACCCAGACTGGTAACACTGAAAATGGGCCAAATTTTGGACAAAAAAACTAAAGAGATTGTATTGCTGATCAAGGAATCTGTTCCCTACACAAAAGCTACAGCTCTAACTTGGTTTTTTTTCAGCAGGCTGGGTAGAGTCAAAAGCATGACTGCAAGAGATTATGAAGAGATGTAAATGTCACTGACATTACCAACATTCATATTCACTTATAAATGGCCCTGCTCTCCCTTCTGGTCGGTGGTGGGGTCGGGGGGGGGGGGGTTATATGAGATATAAGAATGCCAAGAGAATGTCACTAAGGATGCCAAACAGAATAAATTCAGATCCATTTCTGGAGTTAAAAAAACAATAATAACATATGCAGATTTATTATGGATGTGAAGAATATATTCAGAATTTTAATGTTACTTAAATTGTATATTCTTTAAGTAAACATTACTTCTATTAAAGTACTCTTGTCACAGTGCACCTGAGTGGCTGAGTTGGTTAAGCATCCAACTCTTGATTTTGGCTCAGGTCATGATCTCACAGTTGATGGAATCAAGCCCCGCATCAGGCTCTGTGCTAGCAGCATGGAGCCTGCTTGGGATTCTCTCTCTCTCTCTCTCTCTCTCTCTCTCTCTCTCTCTCTCTCTTTCTCTGCAACTCCCTTGCACAGGCTCTCTCTCACTCTCTTTCTCTCTCAAAATAAATAAACTTAAAAAAAACTCTTAAAAAATCCACAATACTCCTAATGCATCAGAGACTGAGAAAATGCAAAGCTGGTAAGTAGCTTCACATTTGTTTTCCCCATAAACATGTCAGAATCCGGGAAGAAATCTCCAAAGCACCGCTTCTACTATTAATAAGAAATAATCTAACCAAGGTATATGTTCTTGCTATGTTGACATATTCCTGTCCTTAAGGATGGTGACATCATTCTGGAAATGTAACAGAGAAAAGTATTTTGAATTTCATTCCATAGCAGCATTATGTGGCAAACCAAAAAGAAATTTTAAACTACAAGTGAGGATACACACACACACACACACACACACACACACACACACACACACACAAATAGGAATTACTTTACAAACTATATTTCTTATGACTTACCAAGACTGAATCAGAAATAAATTAAAAATATGGATAGATCAATTACTAGTAAAGAAATTGAATCAGTAATTAAAAACTTCCTAATGAAGAAAAGCCCAGGACCAGGTGGCTTCACTGGTGAATTTTCTAAACATTTAAAGAATTAAAACCAATTCTTCTCCAACTTTTCCAAATAACTGAAGAGAAGGAAACAATTCTAAATTTATTTGACAAGATCAGCATTATCCTGACACTAAAACTAGAAAAGAACACTACTAAAAAGGAAATCTATAAACCAATATCCCTGATGAATACAGATGTAAAAGTTCCCAGTAAAATACTACCAAATTGAATTCTGCAGCACAATAAAAGATCATACACCATGATCAAGTGGGATTTATCTCTGTGATGCAAAGATAGTTCAACACACACAAATCAATCAATGTTACATGTCACATTTAATAGAATGAAAGAAAAGAATCATATGATCATTTCAGTAAGTACAAAAAAGCATTTGACAACATTCACCACCCACTCATGATAAAAACTCAGTAAATTAGGCTCAGAAGGAACATATCTCAACATAATAAAGGCCATATATGACAAGTCCACAGCTAACACCATACTCAATGGTGACAGGATGAAAACTTTTCCTCTAAGATCAGGAACAAGACTAGGATGCTCACTCTCACCACTCCTATTCAACACAGTACTGGAAGTCCTAGCTACAGCAATCAGGCAAGAAAAAGAAGTAAAAGCTATAAGAATTAGAAAGAAAGAAGTACAATTGTCTCTGTTTGCAGATGACATACTTTTATACATAGATTTGGTATAAAGACTCAACCAGAAATCTGTTAGATCGAATCAATGATTTCAGTAAAGTTGCAGGATACAAAATTAACATACAAAAAAAAAATCAGTAGCATTTCTATACACTAACTGAAATTTCTGAAAAAGAAATAAAGAAATTGATCTCATTTACAACATCAAAAACAATAAAAGACATAGGAATAGATTTAACCAGGAAATGAAAAATTTTTATGCTGAAAACTGTAAGACATGGATGAAAGAAATCAAAGAAGACACAAAGAAAAGGAAAGGTATCCTGTCTTCACATAGTGGAAGAATTAATATTATTAAGATGTTAATCCCACCAAAAGATTCAATGCAATCCCTATCAAGATTCCAATGGCATTTTTTACAGAAGTAGAAAAAAAATTTCCTAAAATTTATATGGAACCATGAAAGACCCTGAATAGCCAAAGAAATCTTGAAAAAGAAGAATAAAGCAGGAGGCATTATACTTCCTGATTTCAAGTTATACTATATAGCAATAGTCATCAAAACAGTGTGGTATTGGCATAAAAACAAATAGACAAAGAGAACAGAATCAAGAGCCAAAAAATAAACCCAAGTATAAACTGCCAACTAGTATTTGACAAGGAAGCCAAGGATATTCAAAGGAGAAAAAAAGTCTCTTCAATATATGGTACTAGGATAATTGGATAATCACACGGAAAAGAATGAAATTGAACCTATATCTTAAACCAGTCACGAAAATTAACTTGAAATGGGTTAAAGACTTAAAAATAAGACCTGAAACCATAAAACCCCTACAAGAAAACATAGGAAAAAAGCTCCCTGACATAGGTCTTGGTAATGATTGTTTGGATATGACACCTAAAGTACAAGCAACAAAATAAAAAATAAACAGGTGGGATTAAATCAAACTAAAAAGGTTTCCCCACAGCAACAAATTTAAAAAACAACTTAGGGAATGGGAAAAAATATTTGCAAACCGTATATTAGGTAAGGAGTTAATATCCAAAATACATAAAGGACTAACAGCAAAAAAAACTAACAGCGATAAATTATAGCAAAAAAAAACCATCAAATAGCCCAATTTAAAAATGGGGAAAGACATTTTTCCAAAGAAGATATATGAAAGGCCAACAGGTAATGAAAAGATACTCAACACCACTAGTCATTATGGAAATGTAAATCTAAACCACAATGAGGGGCGCCTGGGTGGCGCAGTCGGTTAAGCGTCCGACTTCAGCCAGGTCACGATCTCACGGTCTGTGAGTTCGAGCCCCGCGTCGGGCTCTGGGCTGATGGCTCAGAGCCTGGAGCCTGTTTCCGATTCTGTGTCTCCCTCTCTCTCTGCCCCTCCCCCGTTCATGCTCTGTCTCTCTCTGTCCCTCCCCCGTTCATGCTCTGTCTCTCTCTGTCCCAAAAATAAATAAATGTTGAAAAAAAAATTAAAAAAAAAAATCTAAACCACAATGAGATATCACCTCATACATGTTAGTATGGCCATCATCAACAAGGTGCAAGATAACAAATGCTAAGAAAAGGGAACCCTTGTGCACTATTGGTAGGATTATAAATTGGTGCAGCCACTATGAAAAATAGTATGGAGGACCCTCAACAAAATAAAAATAGAACTACCATATGATCCAGCAATTCCACTTCTGGGAACATATCCAAAGGAAACAAAAACATCAATTCAAAAACATCAATTCAAAAAAATATCTGGACAATAAATTTCATATATAAATAAAAAAAAATGAATAAAAAATAAAACAGATAAACTGAACAGAACTAAAAAAAAATAAAAATAAAAACAATAAAAATAAAAGAGAAAAAAAAGAAAAAAAAATATCTGCACCCTCATGTTCATATCAGCATTATTTACAATAACAAAGACATTGAAACAATCATGTCCATCAATAGATGAAGGGATAAAAAAGTTGTAGTATATACATATATACAATGTAGTATTATTCAGCCATAAAAAAATGGGGAAATCCTACCATTTGCAACACGATGGATGGACTTTGAAGGCATTATGCTAAGTAAAGCAAGTTAGACAGGAAAAGAAGTACTGTACAATCTAACTTATATGTAGAA